GCACAATAGACAACGATAGCACAATGATCCCACTTTAAGGGCTATAGTTACATCCTATGGATTCCTAGGACTTGCTGTTTAGGAAGAGTCCTCTCTGATCTTGGAAATGAAGCAAGGCCAGGCCTGGTTCATACTTGGATTGGGGTCCACCAAGAAATGTAGGCTCTATTTCAGAGGAAGGAACTGGCAAACACTTCTGTGTTGTGTTGTAGAAGTCTTTCATGGCCAAAATCACTGGGTTGAGGTGAGTCTTCTGGGATGTATGGCCACGTTCTGGAAGCATTCTCTCCTGACATTTCACCCACATCTATGGCAGGCATCCTCAAAACCTCTGAGGAGAGAATGCTTCTGGAACCTAGCCATACAGCGCAGAAAACTCACAGCAACCCACCTCTGTGTGGCTTGCCTAAGAAGCCTCTATTAAATTCATAAAGTGACTTGAAGTCATCTAAATACCATAACTCATCCAGAGGGTTGCAATGCATCACAAATTCCCATGATTCTGTAGTGCGTAAGGGCTCCTACCTAGATTCATAGAATCAAAGAGTTGGAAGAGACCTCATGGGCAATCCAGTCCAACCCCCTGCCAAGAAGCAGGAATATTGCATTCAAAGCACCCCTGACAGATGGCCACCTCTCCCATACAAAGGTTTTCCTTCCCACTGTCCACAACATACTAGACTTATGCAGTTTCTTGACTGATGTTGGCTGAAATGGACATATCATCAAGTTTAAGTTATGATAGGTTCACCTTAAGGTATCCACAACTCAGAAATGACTTGTTGAATGAATGTTGTTTGACCACACTTTCACTGCCGTAGCTCAATGCTTTGGAACCTGGGATTTATAATTTGGGCAGAGATGGCAAAAGAAAGGCAGTTTAAAAGCAAATCTCCCAGGATTTCATAGTTTTGAGTCATGGCAGTTAAAGCAGTACCAAACTGCATCCTTTTCTGAGTTATGGATACCCTATGGTGAACAGAATAGGAAGGACAAGAGACCTCTTCCAGAAAATTAGAAACATTGGAGATAAATTTCAGGCAAAAATTGGTATGATAAGAAACAAAGATGGCAGGGACCTAACAGAAGCTGAAGAGATCAAGAGAAGGTGGCGAGACTATACAGAAGATCTGTATAGGAAGGATAATAATATCGAGGATAGTTTTCACGGTGTGGTGAATGAACTAGAACCAGACATCCTGAGGAGTGAGGTTGAATGGGCCTTAGGAAGCATTGCTAACAACAAGGCAGCAGGAGACGACGGGATCCCAGCTGAACTGTTTAAAATCTTAAAAGATGATGCTGTCAAGGTGATGCATGCCATATGCCAGCAAATATGGAAAACACAAGAATGGCCATCAGACTGGAAAAAATCAACTTATATCCCCATACCCAAAAAGGGAATGTGAAAGACTGCTCAAACTTCCGTACAGTGGCCCTTATTTCTCATGCCAGTAAGGTAATGCTCAAGATCCTGCAAGGAAGACTCCAGCAAGACATGGAGAGAGAGTTGCCAGATGTGCAAGCTGGGTTTAGAAAAGGCAGAGGAACGAGAGACCAGATTGCCAATATCCGCTGGATAATGGAGAAAGGCAGGGAGTTTCAGAAAAAACATCTACTTCTGCTTCATTGACTATTCTAAAGCCTTGGACTGTGTGGATCATGATAAATTGTGGCAAGTTCTGGGTGGGATGGGCATCCCAAGCCCCCTTCCCTCTCTCCTGAGGAATCTGTACA